CAGAAGGATCATTTCCCATTGGACCTGGAGAAAGTATTCATACTAACAAACGAAGATGTGGAGCCGAGTGTGAATAAGTTGAAGTGTAGCAATGCAATCTTCTACACAGTCTTCAAGACTCGTCAAGGCCTCAAGCGTAGAGCCGTAATAAGGCAAATCGTAGATGGAAGACCAGGACACATGTCCCTTGAGGTGGTTGACAACTAGACAACTGCTACAACCTTTTTATATATTTGATCTTTCCATGCCTATGTATGTTTTGCTTTTGTTTACAAATTTGTTGTAAGTTAACAAGAACACCTAATCCTTACTATTGGCAGCCGCATTCTTCAATGTTGAAACTCAAAGTTGTAAGATTTTATTTCATATCTTGTCATGTTTTCATTCCTAATATTTACATGTTGAATTTTGACTTACCATTCTACATTAATATTTTATTTCGAAACAAACTATCTAACTAGGTGCATAATTTCAGGCTTAAGATTCCCAGTATTGTTAGTACAACAACCTTTAACAACAACTTGTCACAATAAATATATCAATTTGTAAAGACGATGAATTTCTGAAATTTGAAAAATTAGAGATTGATTGAATGTCACTGATTTGTGTTCTTGTTATTGTTCGGAAAAAACGAATGTGTGTGTAAAATACTTCAAAGACTTCATGATTCTTCATAACATGATAAAATGAAAGAAAAAACTGGGTAAAATGAAAGAAAAAACTATGCAGAACTTAATAAGTACACCATTAAGCAATAAACAAACATAAAGTTAGTCATAAAATTTTAAGATGTTGGATTTTCTTTTGTTTTTCATGATTTTTACCGAATGACAAACTTAACTTACTAACCATAAATCATATCCTCTATATATTAATAGAAGAGACACTAGGTGAAAATTCGAAGTGTCATCCAAATAAGATTCTGAGGAACTTGTAATGAAAACTATTAAAACTTCTTAATGACATTATTGTGTAAATAATTAAACTAAATTTATATCACATATACAATATATAACTATTAAACAAATATGGAAACAAAGAATATGTGATAATTAATATGGAAGATTTTATTTAAAGAATATAAAGTATATGTGAGAATATCTATTTTTTTCAATGACTATTAGATTTTTTTGACATGCGTTAGAATATTCAAAAAAAAATTTTATGATTTTTTTAATATACGGGAGAAATTAAAAATAACAAATATATATCTCCAGTATAGATAAATATATTTTATCTTACAAAATTTAATTTTCATGATACTTAGCTAAAATGTAGAGAATTTTTTAGAAATGCCACTTTTCAAAAATGTCATCATACTTGCATGAAATTTTCTTTATGATGACATTTTTGAAAAGTGGCATTTCTAAAAAGTTCTCTACATTTTAGCTAAGTATCATACAAATTAAATTTTGTAAGCTAAA